GTGGGATAATTTCAGGTTTCGTAGTGTTTATATGTATGGAAATTTATCATTCCAGCACTTCGTTCGGGTCCTGCTGTTCGTCGTGAAGAAAATCATTCAAAGTAACAACTGAAATCGGTTGCCCAACCATTGCTTAATTGCTTCCAAAATTYMGCTCTCCTTGAAGCTGAAGCAAGTAGCGATGATTCAGGAGTTTTAACTTTGACCCAACAAAGCAAAACAGTCCAAAATGACGACTTTCCAGTGCTTTTTTTGATATAAGAATTCGTCCTTCTACCGCCATTTGTACAGYCATAGAAACCTGGCCTCTATATTGCTCAATATCCATAATTTCGTCTCCAGATCTCGCTTTAAAACGGACATATTTGCTCACGAACTCGGCATATATTTTGTTGCTGGTTCGAGAAGCTGTCCGAGTGGAGACTGGTACCTAATTTGGAGATAATGCCCGCGAATTTTGCTTTAAAAATATTTGTAATCGTTTTTTCCAACTTTTTTTCAAATGCTTTTAGTAGTATGAAGATATTACAGTGTTTTTTTAAAAAATGCTTTCCCATTCTTCACATAATATCCCTCATTTGGAAATGACCAGAGTTGATGGGCAATTCTGTGCGATGGTTTAAAGACAAAAGCATGGCGGCCATTGTGGTGCCGTTAACAATAGATGCTAATGAGAAATCTTTTGTTAAATGGCACCAACATGGCCGCGATGACGTAACGTGCAATCGGAGAATTATCTGTAGGTTCGGTAGTCACTCAAAGTCGAATCACAAGGAGAGTCAAATGCGTTTCCTGTTCCTCTGAAAGGGTTTGCTGATCTTTCAAAACATTTAAATGTTAGTTGAAAATATTTGTAGATGAAAAACACCAACAAACCAAAAATCATAAGCAATTTTAAAGTCAAGACGTACATTTAACGTAGAAAAGCGACAACGTTTTCGATCTCGAACGGCCTTTTACTATGAGCAATTGTAATTTTTCTACGGCCAACAACAACAACAAAAAAAACGGTTACCAACTGAGGATGGTGTAGGGGACTGCGAAGGTGACTATTGCAAAACGGTGCGAAATATACACCTATTTCAAAAATCGTTGTCGCACCAAAAGCCTCAAGCAACAAGCCAAGACCGCAGAGAACGCCGATACTTTTAGCTGTAATTAKTTTATTCATGGTGCATTTTTATTTATTGACTTCACATATTGCTCCAAGCAAGGCTGCTTGAGACTACAATTAGTGGAGAGCTATAGCCACTTGTATAAACTATGAATAAATCAATTATGATTAAAAGTACCGACGTTCTCTGGAGCCTTGGCTTGTTACTTGAGGCTCTT